ATTCTGCAGCAACAGGCGTCTTCTCCATCTTCTGGCACCATCATTGGCTTGCAACTTGAGCTTCCGACTTGGCCTCATATCCTCGACTCCGCCACTGTTAGTCAGAATCGTAGCTCTTCCTTTACAGAATTAGTCTGCCAGCATGGCGCAGCATGTGTGGATACACAGAGTGGTCCACGCTGCTTCTGTCCTGCGGGTTGGCATGGAGCTAGATGCGAATACGATATTAATGAATGCCAGGAATCCCTCCAATTCCGGCATTCTTCAGGCAAGTCGGCACGCGTCTTTCCGTCCCCTTTTAAAGCTAACCAACTGGGTCATATTCAGTCTGCAGGCCTTTGTAGCCCTGGGGGTCCTGGACGAGGAGCATGTATGAATACCCCTGGTTCTTACTTTTGTAACTGCTCTCTTGGATATGCTGGGCGTCACTGTGAAATGCCGGTAAGTTTTGCCCCTAATTAGATAAATTTAATAAAACAATCTAGCTACTTTAAGTAGCCTTTTATTATACATTAAAATTTGGAATTAAACTTTCAATTTTAGAATCTAGCCTCGTTACGACCGGATCCGAATCCACTCGGATTGACTCAAATTCACGTCTATATCATTGTTGGGCTCTTGGCTTTCCTTTTCATTGTTGCTTTGGCGACAATAATTGTATTGGCATGCCGCGTGCGTGGCCTTGTTAGCGGTGGAGGCAGTAGCACTACTGGTGGTGGAAGCAATTCGGCAGTACCTCATTGGCTTTTTAACGGAGGCGCCAGCCTTCTATTCACTGGACCAGCCGGCTCCGGTGGACACCAGAATTTAGGTAGCATAGCCGATTCTGGCGCTATTGGTGTATTAGGTCATGGGTCATCTGGCTATCCGATAACCTGGCGCGACAAGCTCAGACGTGCTGTAATTGCCAAATCCTCAACGGCTGGCAGTAGTGTTTCTCTTGGCTCCGGGAAGTTTCCTGCCCCTTCCTTGCAACTGGCTGATGGGATTTTGGTACCAACACAAGGCATAGATCCTTCTAATCTGCATCTGGCAACATCGCCTGCAATCTACCACCCACTGTTGACTGCCGCAAACCCGAGTGGGACAATCCCAGCCTATCACCAACAGCAACATGTGCTTCAGCAACAGCAGGGCATCTCTTCAAGCAGTCTTGCGCAAAATAGATACACTATAGGACCCACGTCGGGACACAAGCGGCCGTCACTCGCCTCCAGCCTTGCTTTTCCTGTGCTGGTTGATGAGTCGGGTACTTTGATGATAGCAGCTACTCCTCTTTTGGCTGGATCGCAGCATCTTGGACCTGAAAGTTTGGATGGCCGTGAGGATTCGTCTACAGCAACAGCCACTTCTCGCCTGTTCACCTACCCCAGCGTTACACTAGGTCCCCAGGTAAGTAGTATGAGACTGAAGATATGAAGACCAAGATTTTGTGGCCTTTGGTATTGTCGCAGTCTTCTTTCGATTTATAGGAGTGGGTTGACCTCGTTGTCGCAAATTGGTCTTGTTTTCAAGGCGACTTAGTAGAACGCACGTAATCCGAAGTCGTCTGCCACAGTAGTTGTAATAATACGGTGACAACACAAGGAAGCGGAAGATAAGGGAAGCCATTGACATCCTTGGGGAAAAAATCTAATGAGCAGGAAATTGGAAGAAGGTGGAGTTATCGATAACTTTTCCTACTGCCTAAGCAAACTCGGGGAAAACAAGAATAGAGTAAAACAAGCAAAAAGGTGATGCCTGGATCAAGGATCTTTCGCTAAACGGAGAAGAAGGGATCGTGATGAAGAAAGGGGGGGCAAGGATTTTCGGCAATAAAGCGAAGACGTTGTCAGTCCGTGATGTCCGTTTCGAATAAACCAGTACAACTTTGGGCGCCTGGCAGTCAGGTAGCTGGGATTTGAGCCCCGAGTCGGATAAGCCCATCGAAAGAGAGGGGTCGAGGTAAATAGCAAGTGTGATGAAGCCACACCAGGTTTGCCAAAAAAGGGCACGCATTTTGACGAGTGGAATGTAAACAAGTGAGAAGTTGTGATAGGGCAGCAGTGGGATAAGAGGGTAAAGAATAGATAGATAGGCCAGGACAGAAAGAGAAATGATAGTGTAACCGTTTTCGGCGGAATGTTTTATCGAAGGATTGACTTCACTTGTCTCTTTGACGAGTTCGTAGCTTTGTGTGGAGAATGGCAAGGCTC